GAGCATAGGTGTGCTCAGTTGCGGACGGCATACCCTTTGATGGGAATCACGTGTTGGTCCGCTTGTCCACCTATTAGATAAGTTTATCCTTCGACCTTCGTTCTCAGGGAATCCTCCTTTGGGATCTGGGAAGGAGCATACAATTATAGGAACTGTCCAAAATCGCACACACACCCTTACAGGGTTCATAACTTGCGGGGTTTTTCTAGTCGATTTCTGGCGCCTCACACCAGGGAACGAATTTTAAAACGAAAAGCATTTGTGAAGGCCCTACCTAGAAATTCGGAATCATTCGCAGAGCAAGTAGCGACAAAAATGATGGTAGCGTAGCGTAATGTTGCCATTATACTAATGCTGTTGTTTTCAAGATCATACAGACACTGCTGAAGCTACAGAATCAAGTTCAAGCTCTCGTTTGTCAACTACTTTAGAGGAAACGTATGGTGACGAAGAAGTCTCGCAGCAAGGTGCTTGGGAAAGGTAGGGACTTGTTTCGGCCACATTGTAATATTTAATAGCAGAGCAGATAATGAGGAATGGTTCTTTTCCGCTACAGGGACGACTTCCATCAAAGTGAAAGTAGCAACTCTCGTGATGGAAACTCGCCCTCGTTACTTGAGAAACAGCGGCAGGTTCTCGCTGAGCTAATAGATGACTTGGGACCGCCGCCTTCCGTCATTGTAATAGAAAACGGTGAGCCTAATAAGATACGTTCTCTAGGGAACACTACTAGGAATGCTTTTTTCCTCGTTGTCTATTCGTGCGTCCATGCAAATGTTGTTTAGGAACGGCTGAGGTGCGAGAAGAAAGAGAGGAAACGCCAAGCGCTGTACCCAAAAGTTCTGTTGTTGACGATAGCGACGATGAAATTTTCATTGTTGATGCGATGAAGGAGGTAATACTGTGCAAAATGACTTCCAATATTACACAGCCCACTGTCCCAATATTTGACTTCAGCAAGCGCAACAAGTACAAGCCCGGAAATTGTCCTCTACGGCTTCTCCTGTAGTTCATCTCGTGAACGAGGGTGACGACGAATGTATGATGCTCGACGTGCTTGAGCTGTAAGGACTTCAATTTGTTGTAGTGCTACTTGTTCAAGCAAAAAGAAGCAAAAGATTTTCGTGCTGAATTTAGAGTTTCAATAACCTTCAGGCCAACTGGTGGAACATCTCAATCGGTTAGTGGGCAGCGAGAAAAGAAATACAAATGCTCTATGTGTAGCGAAACGTTTCTCCGACAGTCGACGTGTCAATATCATGAGCAGACTTCTCATCGCAACGATATAATATCCGATCTTTGTGATGAGGTATAATTAGTTTGAATCATTATACATTGTGGGAAAGCTTATTCATGTAGGTCACCGTCATTTTGCATGAAGCACTTTGAACCTTCAAAACAAAAAAATGGATGGTTGTAAAGTCTTGGTTGGACTATATAAGAGGCTTTCGCGGGAAAAGGTACATTATTGATGGCGCGATAAGGCGCCGGATGATCCCTAGGAGCAATCGTACGGTTCCCGAACGTGTCCCTTCTGGCGCAGAGTGAATCTATAGTGGCAGAGTGTAAATTGACGATCAGCCTGCTTCGAGTGGTTGGATGCAAACAGTGCTGTTTTTTTGAAAAGAGAAATTCTGAGATAAGCTCAATTTCTTTTCAAAAAGCACTGTGTGGCAGCGCTACCGAATCGAAGCAGTATTTGCTGCGTCTGATCAACGTTGGCCGATGATGCCGAGTGTTTAGCATTCGCTAAATGATAACTATGTTGCCGTGGTGTATAGCTTTGCCGCTCCCCGGGAATATCGAAGGCAAAAAGGGGGTTCTCACCGTATCTTATATTTTTTCCCACTTGAATTAGCATCAGCTTATCACAAAAGCTGCCCTCAAATGACCACCACTTTCATCCTATTCTCTGCCACCGCTTATTCTATCGGCTCTTATGACACTATGAATACACATTGTGCATACAATAACGAGCTAATGAAGGGAACATCAGGAATCATCTCATTTAGCAGATAACACTTTGACAGCAGAGGAACAGGCAGCACTTAATAGTCAAAAACAACCGGAAAATCTTCTTGTATTCTTCACAAAATATTTTTTTACTATACATATAGAGCTCAAGTAATTGAACGACCGTTATCGGTTGTTATCACTTTTGATCACCCACTATCCGTGTTCCCGTCCCATCCCCTATACCACATGTGAGAGCCAAGGTTCCAATGTCACCGCGAAGGGCCGCAACGAAACTGGTGGTATCCACACTTTGACGCCCCTTATCAGTTCTTATCAGTTGCTACCACCTTCTTTCGCTCACCTTCTTGGTCCCTGCCTCACCCCACATAATATTCATGAGTGCGAACGTCCTACTGTCAATGCGAAGGGCGTGACGAAACTGATGGCGTTGGCATTCCGATACCCATTATCAGCTCTTATCACTTGCTATCATACTTCTTACTCGCTGGTGTCCCTGTCCACATAATATTCATGAGTGCTAACAATCCACTGCCAACGCGAACGGCGTAACGAAATTGGTGACATCGGCATTCTGACGCCCGTTATCAGCTCCTATCAGTAGTTATCACTTCCGCCACCCATCATCAGTGTTCACGCCCGGTCCCCTATATACCCTAGAAGTTTGAGCGCTCTGGGACCAAAGGGAACGAAGTTATGAATTTCCGGTCAGATAGACGAACACACACAAGCAGGCTGACACACGCACACACGGCCGCTTAGGGGATTTAACTATGGTAGCATAGTAGGTAGTGATGAGTTGAAGATATTAAAAAAGGATTTCTCATTCTTAACATCATTTTTCTATCGACTAAGTACTTTTCCAGATTTACGGTGTCCCACTTATGCCAGAGAGCGTCATGTACTTGTGCCAGCAGTGCGCAGCTGCATTTGAGGACCAGCAAAGGGCCCATCGGCATCGCGCTCAACACATGGTCAAAGGACCTGCATTGTAAGAACTCTTAAGCATTTTCCTTATTTTTTTTCGCAAAAAAATTCACTGCGTCTTCATTATAGTCCTTGCGAAAAGTGCAGCAGCATCTGCTTAACGGATTCCAACCTGCGTGAGCATCACAAAAAACATGATGATGGGAAGTTGTCGTACCGTTGCTTGAAGTGCACACCAAATAGAATATTTATAAGTGTAAGTGTTTTAGTGTTCTTCTGAATAGTCATCTTGAATCTGAATATGTTCCAGCTTTTTTTTTCAGGAATCTGCTATATTCTTTCATCTCTACACAGAGCACACTGTTCCTTTTATTGCCTTCTGTAAAAATTGTCTCCTGGCATCTGCTAATCTTGATCGTATCTTCACTCACGTGGTCTATCGTGAGTGCTCCGGTAGCCGGGTCACCAATCCACGGATTTCCATGGTGGGTCAGATGGGAATACCGCTTGCCTGACAAAAATTGCTTTTTTGTTCAAAGGCTTAGGACCATTTCTGCTTGTTTTAAATCCGAGCTTCTCAAAAGTAGATTTCAGATAACAATCCAGCGCTCTCTCGGTTTCGCTGTTGCATCGGATTTACATTTCCAGCCAACTGATGAGAAGAAACATAAACAAGCAGAGGTAATCGTTATTAACTCGCTGGCGACATCGCGCATTTTGGCATTCGACCGCGTTGTGCCGGCGCGATTTTGCAAGTCCGGCCGCCACGTACGTGGATTTTTGGTAGTGGATTCACACAACATGTTATCTAGGAGCGTAATAAGTAGAAGATTTTTTGACAAGGACGAAGGAACAGCGGGAAACTGAAATTTATCACTCTTCGTGCAGTGCACATCAGAATTTTTTGGCTTGACTATTCCGGAAAACAAATTTTCCCGTTCACATAGCTTTGTTCTTATTTGTAAATTGGTTCTCATTAACCGTCCCAGGAACTGAAAAGAAGACCACGTAAAAAGCAAAGTGGAGATTTATTATAGATAACTGACAGAATACCTTCGGTAAACTGAAGCGTATCTATGCATTTTGTGAACAACGCTGTTGTAGTTATTTAAAGGACGAATTCACGATGGAAAAGCAACCCATTTCAAATTAGGTAGAGATGGTGAGTGGTACACGAAAGAAGGAAAACCATGAGAAACGGCCCAGAACCCGAGAAATGGGACCCCTTCCTTGCCCGTTGATTTGAGCATTGATGCGACTCTCATCGCTGTGCCCTCTTCAACACTACGCTCTCTCAGCTATCTAATCACTCGCCACGTATTGACTACGGCGAGTGATCAGATGATCGGTGGGCGGAGATCGCCGAACTCGCCAACTTTGAGCCATGCTAGATCGCAGAGGTCAAATCTTTCGATGCCGATTGCGTGTCTGTCCGCACCCTCAAGAGATTCACCGCTCTCCCCACTAGGCGATTTCTCCCTTCTTCGACCTTCGTTCTTTCCGTGCAATCCTCCTTTAAGGGCGGAGTACCAGTTGCGCTTAAAACTTCCGCCAGATGCTGCATTTTGGGCCGTAACTTTCTCTGCTGTCTTATGTTCTGTCATATTTTATTATAATACCAGTTGGCGCCGCACGCATTGCGCGCACAACACAGATCTGCGGCGAATTTTGATGGTGCGACGAAAATTTTCAAATTTGGCTTGATACACCACGAATATCTGAATTCTCAGCTAAATTCTATCCGCTCCATCATCGACGGCTTTCAACCTCTTTTTCTTCGTCAACCATTATCCTCTTTTTCCCGGTCTCCGGACTGCTTCCGGACAATAAATCTCGTGGCAAACTCCGCCTACTTCGGTGCGTGCCCCGCCCACCAATAGCATTTGGCCCCTTCCTTTCGCCGACCTCTACCCCTTTTTTCACCGGTCTCTGGGACCTCTTGGAACCAAATTACGACACTTTTGGCAAACTCCGCCCACTTAGGTGCGTGCTCCGCCCACTAATAGCAGTTGACCTCCTTTCCCTCGCCAACCTCTAACCCCGTTTTCCCCTATCTCTAGGACTTCTTGGAACCGAGTTATGAATTTTTGGCAAACTCCGCCCACTTTGGTCAAGCCCGCCCACCGATGACAGCTGGCCTCCACTCCTCCACCCACCTCCATCCACCTTTTTCCCGGCCTCCGGGACTTCTTGGAGCCGAGTTATGAATTTTCGTCGCAAACTCCGCCCACTTTGGTCATGCCCCGCCCACCGATGACAGTTGGCCTCCACTCCTCCACCCACCTCTATCCACCTTTTTCCGGCTCTTTAAGACTTCCCCGGCCCGAATTATGAGGACTTGTAGAAAATGCTGTACACTTCAGCGCGCTCCGCCCATTGTGGGCGGCCTCCGCCCACGTCATGTATGCTGGGAACACCTTAGACATTGCTCCCCTACACCAATTTGTTTTCTGCTCTGTAGGCTTTCTCCCAACCGAGTTATGAAATTTTTCATAAAGCACTGCTTTTTTGGAGAACGCCCCGCCCACCGGGGGTGGGTCTCCCTAATTCGATGTGACTTACCAATGCACACCTTTACCCACTTTTTGGCCCAGTTTCGAGGTCGTTTTGTCAGAGAATTGAAATCTTGGTCGTCAGTACACTTCATTTCGACGCACGCCACGCCCACTGTGGGCGGGGCTCCGCTTAGCTGATGTGTGTTTTGTACTTCGTGAGACCTTGCCCACCCATCCCACACTTGACCCGGTCCCTCCAGGCGGATCCCGAGGAGCTAGGGAATTTCGTGACAGACATACAGAACAGACGACAGACGACAGACGAAGCGCTTTATAGTAAGTAGGATGTTTTGAAGACTTCATAAAATTTGAACGATTTTGATACGACAGAAAAAAAGTTACTGCCGAAAAATCATTCGGTCTAAAATTTCTGAGCGCCACTGTATATCCCGCACTGTTCCGCGTGACTTGCATGCTAGAGGTTTATATCATCCCCGCTGTCGTCGAGGTGTTGAAGGATTGGTCCCATAGCCGGCGTTGATCGTCTTTTTCTTGGATGTGCCACGTATTCTATTTCCACACAGAATCGTGGTGTCATTTTTAGTGCCAGTTGGAATATGCGCGTTATTCTATACTATGAGGCGGCCGACTTGCAAGTCGGTGTTTTTGTCCTCCTGGACAGTGCAGTGGCAATATACCGACCCCGAAGGGATGGGGGGTTGACCTGAGCGGCGTACTGTCCAGGAGTTGATCCCTGGATCAAGTACGTGGTAAGCAGCGCCACATCCCACGACACGTTCCGCTTTTTTGATCACGATATATGAAAACAATGCAAAAACCATTCACATGTCTTAGGGACTGTATGCTTTGCCTACTCTCTGCAGCCATCGCTCGTTCATCACCTTTGGAGACTCATTTACTACGTGCCCGGAGGAGCCTTCGCGTTGTGCAGCTCTAGTGAGTGCCATTTTCTCATTTCATTTTTTCAGAAAATCTGTTCATGATGATTCTGCATTTGATCATGCAAACTTTTCCTTAATTGATTATCAATATGGGCTCGCCTTCCTAGACCTCTAAATTTCTGATATTTTCTGTTTTCTTCATTTAAGTGATGGCTGACGAGTATTTTTATATTTTGGATCAAAAAAAGGTATTGTGATGTTGGCGCTACATTTGGAGCATTTGGTAGAATTTCTTAATCAGATGCCATCTTTTTGTTGTGTACTATATTTACGGGAATCAGACGTCATCACATCGTCACGACAGCAGGAATGTTCAAGTCCCATCCAGTCTCAGTTTTAAGATCACCAGTTCTATGATTTTTACTTGCGACTGAGTCCTCAATGAGTTTGATGGCTGTATTGAATACAAAGAGTTCAGGTGAATCAAAACCGCTGGCATTCTCACCTTTGTGCAACAAATAAAGAAAATCCTGGTGAAATGCCCACGAATATACCGGAAGGAATTCTTGTGAGGAATGTGGGAGCCGACAACATGATAGATATGTTGATCTCAAAATTCAAATTTAAAGAAAGAAACCGCAGTCTCCCTGCTACTTACCCTGGTGAGCAGAACTTTTCGCTGGAGTTCTTTTCATTCTTTTTTCAAACGTTCAAATTTTTGCAATGTTCCAAATTCAGGACCTTCACCTAAGTCATCCTCGGTGGAAGTACCTGCAGTTTCTTCGTGCAGCCAGCCGCATATCGAACAGCGGCGGCAAAGTGTTCCTGCTTCCACTTGTGAAGTACTTGAATCGTCGGCGAGTTGGAATTGCTGAGCCAGCGAATGATCAGTCGCCTGGAGCTTCTATACCAACTGCGCCGCAACAGGTAGAGTAGTAGTAGAGTCGCACTGATTTCTTAACAAGAAAGGTCTCCGGGCTTTCAGACAAGAGGTCATGGGATAAACCCTAGAACGAACTTCTCTTTTGCTTGCAGTTCATCACCTTAATGGCAACGCGCGTTTGGCTTTTTCAGCCGCGCGGATTAGGCGATTTTGCGAGCGCGGCCAACTGACCTCATTTACATGGGCTTTGAGTGATGAATAACCAAAAAAAGATGATACATGGCAAGATATGAATGTCTCATAAGAATGCTGAGTCGTGAAAACGTTTGTCCTGGACAGGACTCTACCCGCACCTTTTGCTTTTGCGGGCTCGAGTCCCGTCTGGAGCGAAGTTTTGTTCACAACCCAGCTTGTGAGACATTCGCAAGGCGAACTGCGGCCAAAAACAGCTGTTAACAATCAAAAACGCGATACGAATGTTTCAGAGTAATGTTTAGTGTGTGGAAGCCATCTAGGAGAATAATGATAAGATTTCGATCGAAACGGTTTGAAATACCAATGGAGAATCACGGTTTATTAGACCTGGCGGAAGTGCGGAAGTGGAGGACCAAGGCGATTTTGTTTATTGCTGTGATACATTGAGTCCTGTGTTACTTTTACTACCCTTTTCATTTACAAGTTCATGCAAGCCTAAATCTTGCAAGGGTCGAAAATCTCGCCGAATGAAAACACGTCTGACATTATCTGAGCAAATAAGTTTGTAGTTTCTATGGAACAATCAAAAAAAAAACTCGAAATAAACCGCGGATGCGCGAAATTTTTTCCATCTGATTTATTTTTCGAATTCCTTCGGGTATGAATCATTTGGGTGCGAGACGCATACGTCCTGCGCAGTGCCTCATATTCTTCGAAGTGCGAAACGTATGGGTCTTGCGCTGCCGTCAAGGTGCTAATAGATTGTTTTAAGCCTTTGTCGTGAATAGCAAAGGAGCAAACTCGTTGAGGAGTCTACCCGACGAGAGTAAACTCATAGCATCGTTTAGCAGGTAATGAAAGCGTCTTTGAACTCATTTCTCAAAGCGCACATAGAAATGTACACCGTATTTGAATTGGTCGGGTTGATCTAATGTCCATCCTTGTTGGTATTATTGCTAAAAATAACAAAACCACAATATTTTCAAGATGTTTCCTGGAGGATCGGCAAATGACATGCCAGTTCATCGTCAGGGAATGGGTAATGTACAACCGCATCTTGGAACAAATCAGGTAGTTTTCTGTGATGTGCTTTTAAAATGGGCTGTGATCTTTCTTAGAGGAGGAATTCACGATAAGATCGAAGGTTAAAGAAGGGGAAAATTGCATAGTTGGGAGACAGGCGAACCTCCTGAGGGTGCTGACCGACGCGCAATTGGCAGCGAAAGATTTGACCTCGGCGATCTAGCATGGCTCACTCTTGGCGGGGTACGCCCACCGACTATCTAATCACTCGCCGCAGGTCTATACGTGGCGAGTGATTAGATAGCAGAGAGAGCGTTGAAGAGGGCACAGCGATGAGAGTCGCATCAATGCGCAAATCAACGGGCAAGGAAGGGGTCCCATTTCTCGGGTTTCGGGCCGTTTCAATGGTTTCTTCTTCATCCCTGCTCCCCTGACCACCTCTACCCTTATTTCCAATGAGCTATTTATCGTAATTTCTGCCTTTAAAGTGGACCCTGTTAGTACGGGTGGTTCACAGGTGTATCTAGCTATCCATCTCACATACAGTCGCCTCTTTTTTGGAACTAATGCGGGATCATCCAATCGTTCTCGGAAATTTTGCGCGTAATGAAGTTTAGTCAGTGCGGTTGCCCTAGATATGCCACGTAACTCTCAAAATCTTTTCACTTACGTCACAAATTATAGTAGGACACAATCAGCTCAGATAATGGTAACTTTCGCGGAAGTAGATTATTTGGCTGGCTGGGAATTTTCCACTATCATAAGTTTCCATATCATATCTGCCATGCCATTTTTGCCATGGCGATCACCGCTGACGTGCGCTCTGTAAGATCCTGAGTGGTAATTGTGGTGGGAAAAGTCCACGCATTCTCCGTTCATTGAAGGAAGTGCTGACCATGAGTATAATTCGCTAGACTGTTTAAAACTAATAGGTAGACGTGATCGGGAAACACGCATGAATTGGTTTTATGCTGTTATGGACCGTTTGTGGAGCTCTTGCCATTATAGCAACGTCGGCAATCTTCTCAACATTCGTTTTCAGTGAGAATAGTTAAAGCTTTTTTTGCAAGCACTTCAAAAATGGAGGTGCTGGATAACAGTTTCATATCATGAATACGGCTTTTGTTGGTGGTGAGAGCTGATATGCGCTAATGTAGATGGGCCCTACTACTGGAAATTGCAAGAAGATTGAAATTGTCTCCTTCTTACAGCCATTCTTTTTCATTTCGTTCAGGCTGCATGTCTTTTATGTCGCACTCGAAATGTACCTATGATCTGTGAGCCAACCGATCGTGCCTATGATGCTGTGAACTCTCTGTGCACTAAATTCAGGGAAGTGCATCCTGGTGCCGCACAATCGCTATTCAGTACTTTGAATGCGTTCATTCGAGGTTCGTCCCTTCCTAAGTTGAATTTCTCTTGATTCTAGTTAATGAAGATAATTTTTAAGACAGCTCAGCAAGAGGTCGCGTTTTGTTCTGCTTCTGTCGGTGGCATTATCCGGCCCAATGTTTCGATCCTGCTGGTCGCCCGTTGTTGAATATGGTCCCATCGCAGATTAATAGCCAAGTTCTATTGGATAACTTCCACAATGGGATGTTGTATCCTGATCCGGCCTCTGTCGCACTGCTTACACCTGCTCCGGTGCCTACTTCACCATCTACTAGTCGACCCACGGTGCCTGCTCCATCGCAAAGCGTTGCTGTATGTTTTTCATATCAACTGAATTGCTGACCTCGAAAATGACTTATTCGATCTTCCTTTTTAGCAAGCTGTTGTGCAACGATGTGTAGTGTGCGATCTGTTGTCTCCTAGCGGTACTTGCAAAGCGACTAGCTTCTACGTCGACTATATGGTGGCTGTTCCAGTCAATCCGGTGACGTTGAAGGAGCAGTGGGCGATGAACATCTGTCGTTATCTCACGAATCCAATCGCTCAGGATATTTTGAATGGAGTAAAATTTTAAAAGTAGGTGTAGGCTACCCAATGAGTTAGTAAAAAATTCTTCAGTTCCGTTTGTGCCATCAACCTCGACTCTGCCTCCGACATTTCAATCCTCGTACCGTGACAATGAGTCCATCTGGTGTGTTAGTGAGATCACCTACATGTGGGAATGATATGCCTATTTTGGATTTTGCGCAATATGCCGCTCTGAACACGGAGTTTAATCAGGCCCTCAGCAAACTTCTTGACGTAAGTTGAATGAATTCCATGTCGAGTCTCATTGTTTGACCAGATTGCAATGGTAGATTCGTAGGGTATGGAGAAGTGTCAGAATGCGAATACCATCGCAATGATGCTGAAGATCGTTCAGGATCTTGTGAAATGCAGTGATGAGGTAAGCATCTCGCATTGCTATAAGTCTGCTAGTTCACATATGTACATTTCTCTTGTAATTCACGTCTGATTCATCACAGAGATGTGGACGACCGCTGAACTCAAGCAATGATGTGCGGTTACATCGCTTCCATCAACACCAAAATAAATTTGTATGCATGGAGTGCTTCAGCACGGTCGACATCATTCGTACGGAACAGGAAATGATTGAACATTTCGCTCTGAAGCATAGTCAGAGAAATCGCGAAGGTTGGAGAAGATTTTTGTTCTCTACGAATAATTTGGCAATTTTTAGCTATAGCTGAACTCTGCAGTTCAGTTCAGATAGGGTTTTGTAAGAAATTTGTGTTAAAGAACCGATCATGGTTTGGAGAGTATTCATTGTCTCGGATAGTCAGCTGGGGCCTAATCTCATTAAAAAATGGAAATTTTAATGATTTCGCATGCAGAAAATCGGGCTTTTTGTAGGACCAGATTAGTCCCCCGTCAACCACTCGGACCTTCCTTCCCTGCGTAAACTTTACGTCTTTCGCTGTGGTCCCTTCCACCAACACCTCGCGTAGGTGACGCGTATGCTACAGAAAAGGAGTTTCATATAGTGGAGTTTATCGCCATAATCATAACGTGACGGTAGATTTTCCGCCTCCCATCCCATCCTCCCTTCCTCCCCTCTCTCCACTGCCCTCCAGCTGCCAGCACCATGCGGAATGACCGGAAGTGTTCATTAGGTGTTTATGTAGCCGTAGGAGTGTTATCACAATTATCCTATTGCAAAACATTGATAGCTCAAGTCCTGCGAGCTACCCAGATTTGTTAGCGGCTTGTTTATTCCATTAGCTGCCTTATCACTCCATTTTGCGGACGGACAGACATACATACATACAAACCGACACACTAATAAGCGCTTTATAAAATAAGGGGATCTTTTCTTGAAGCCCCTTCGCATTAACTGCGACATTTTCATCGACAAAATCGGAAAGCTCTTGCCCGAAGTAGTGATACTCCGATATAGTAATAGTATTATTATAATAAATTATCAAGCATGTGGACAGATCTGTCTATTTCCCGCTTACAAGTATTCTTAATAGTTTATCTTGAAAGTTAAGGCGAATTTGAGAACTTTCGCCACGTAGACGGTGATCCCTTTCTCATGAAACCAGTAGGCATCCTCGTCGCATTGCATTTCAACAAATCCGCCAATCCTTTCATTTTCTTTCCCATTTTGCTTTGCTTGATCGTTCAGAACTCGTTCGTTTGACAAACGCTGTTTTCTATTGCAAGCTCTTTCTAAATAGCATGCGATCAGATTTGCGAGAGGTTCAAGCTAATTGGCTCTTTTGTTTGAAGGCGGAATTTACGATTATAAGGCGGCCAATTAGAATTTAAGGCAGCGCCTACGATAGGTTTGAGAAGGTTAGAGGAGACGTGGTGGTGCTCAATGGTACGTCGGTGGCGAAAAAGCGGAGAAATCCGTCAAAAAACGCAAAATGGGACCCCTTTTTTGGCCGTTGGTTTTCACTCATGAACAGGTAACAGCTCAGAAAGCGGACGTATGAACGAGTTCAGCGCAACGCGTTTGGTGACACCATGCCAAACCACGCTCCAATCGAGTTGCTCCAGTTGTGCCGCTGCTGGCAACGCAGCTCGTCCAAATCACCAACTAAACTAGTGGGCGGATCGCTTTTGGGGCGGAGTGCTTTCGAAGTCCTGCTCAGCAACCAGCGCACCTTCCGTCGTGAAAGCGCCACACCTCGCTTCCCTGGCAGCCAAGTAACTGATTCGTGTGGTGCATATGCTTCCCCGATGCGCTCCCTCTTTATCGTAATCGCTGCCTTTAAGGTAAGTGATCATAGTGCCGGAAAGGAGGAAAACCATCACGAACCGCTGGATCCGAGAATTAGACCCCTCCCTTTTCCGTTGATTTCCGCATTTATGCGAATCGCATCGATGCTGCCATTCAACAATAACATGCTCTACCAAGCGGCTGGAGACCTGCGGCGAGTGGTTAGCCAGTCGAATTCCGTGGAGCGCCGATCGACGAAGGTGGGCATGCTAGGTCGACCGAGTGCATATCCTTTCCGGGGAAGTGCGATTCAGTCCTTGGGTGTTTGTAGTCCGTTTGTTCTATCACGGATTCAATTTGAGTATGTTCTTTCCTTCTCCATGGCTGAACTTTGCTCTTGAAGAAACTCAAATTTTTGAAGGAATCACTGAGTTTTTCATCCCCCTGGTAGCGCAGTCCCTTTACGGCACGGGCATTTCTTTGCTGAAGCTTAGGTGAATAATTTTCAAAACGGTCATTCGCGTAATAAAAAGTTCTTGAGAAAAAAAAGTAATAATCTAGCACATTTAGCGGGGTCCTTGTGTCACTTGCACGTAATTTTTCGCAACTCCGTAGTAGGAAAAAGGGTGACACTGCAGCAGAGGGGGTGTTTACTTTGGAATTTGATCTTGTGTACGCTGTATTGCACAACATAGAAACGATATAAAAAGGTTAACACGTTGGAAAGCGCGCATGTTTTACGTTTTGTGGCCGCGTGGCACTTCAGTGAAATTTTTAGGAATCTTATCAAGCAAATGGAATGAAAAACTAGTTTATGATGCAGAAGAAACCTTAACGGTTTTGAGCAAGATTGTAACCGAGCTTGATCTCAAACCATGTTTGCGGAAAATGTCGCCGCTTGCCACTACACAACTTCTTAATAGTTGTACTAAATCTTGATGATGTAATAGCTTATAATCCGCACAATCTTGTGTAGTTGTAGTTGCTCTACCAAATTACCACTTTAACTTTTTATTCATTCAAGTTTTTAAATACTCGTTTCTTCGGCTAAAGTGCAAATGTGAAAATCTGCTTGCTGTAAATGCGGCCTACGTCCGTTCTGATTCTTCTTGGTCTCCCTTCATAAATTGAGTAACAGGTAGTAGGTGAGGTACAAACTGAGCCAAACTGATGCACCACATTGATAAACGCTGATTGAGAGCAGAAAGTAATGCTTTTTTTTATCGAACCATGTACATGTCTCGATTTTGTATTTGTTGGCTTTTTCAGGGGGCGAAAATAAGATCCAAGTCGTTTATACTCTACACTGCCCACTTCGTAACTGCAACGGAGCCTTTCCGTCAGTGCAGATGTTGCGGAAGCACATCAACCATATTCATTCAGCTCAGTTCCCAATGTCGTCCGAGTGAGTTCTTTCGATGAAAGTATGATATCAGGATCTTGTAATATTAACCTCTTTTGGGGTGGATGCAAATTTGTCGAAATGGCAAATACAGTGCTGTGCAAAATCATAGGACACCCCAAAAAATATGAATATCTCGGCTTCTAGAAAACGTCGTTCATCGCAACCTGTAAAATCAGAACCGCCTTATAAAAACCTATACTCACAAGTTACCAGGTTATCCGATTAGTTTTCCGTATTTTTAGACAATTTTTTTATTTTGGAGCCGGTGCAAAATCATAGGACACCCCTCGAATTCTCCTTACTGTTGGATTTTTTTTATCAAGCCAGCAATGATATAGCACTTATTTGGTGTACATGTGCCAACTCTACTAGAGTTACGGTTTGAGTTACTCTCCTCTCCTCCGCGAGTGAAAGCAGACGTTGCTTTTACACGCGCCTGATGGCTCTACCACGACCATCGAAGCCATTTTTGGAAGTTCAAGGAAAACCGTAGCTTGGTACTCCAAACTCTCACTACGAATAGAAATAAGAGAGCACCAGGGCAAACAACAGAACCTTTCCAAAAGGATTGGCGCATAACCTCGAAGACTACATCGAACAAAATCACCATGCACGCTCAGCCTGTGTCAGCTCTACGACAGAAAGCGGATAAAACGAAATCATCGGCAAAATCATTGATATGGACAACTAGCGTAGGGTCCTGCGAAGCGTGCTGCCATGCTCGTTAGGCGTACTGAAACCGGAAAGAGAAATCCAAACGAAAGACTGGGTCAAGGCGAGGCTTTGTTGAGCAAATTTTCATTAAATATTTTGGAAAGAGTTTAACATTGATGGTTCAGACGACCTTGTTCACTAGTAGAGGAATATAGGCCAGGTTTCGACGATATTCCCTCAACGAAATTTTCGTGGTAGTTTCCCAAAGATGAGTGGATGCGTAACCTCATTCTGAGTCCCAGACCTGAAGTTTTCTTCACTGGAATAAGTTGACTGGAGAGGAAAGGCGCAGAGAACCAGCTGCTCCCTTCTCTTTTACAAAATTTTAAAAGACTACCTTTGTGACAAGTAGCACACCTTGCCACGGGGGCTCCAATGAGCCAGCGGTGGAACAAACTTAGTGATTCTGACAGAATGGCTAGTAAGGAGTGCGCTTCTGAAAATTTCCAGACTTGAGAACCTTTGTTAGCAATGGCTGCTAAAATACTCACAAGATCAACACAATTTCAAAGTTGAAGCAACGGATTCCCCACTGATGAGCACCACTTTGATTTAAATATGTATAAAAATTTGCGGCAGCGTTTCTTCTTGTATGGATAGAGTAATTCTGCTGAGTGGTTCCTTTTGGAATACTAGAGCAATAAGATTCGGGCGTATTTCTGTATTTTTAAGGTTTTGAAGGAGGGTGTCCTATGATTTTGCACCGGCTCCAAAATTAAAAAATTGTCTAAAAATATGGAAAACTAATCGGATAACCTGGTATTTTGTGAGTATAGGTTTTTTATAAGGCGGTTCTGATTTTACAGGTTGCGATGAATGACGTTTCTAGAAGCCGAGATATTCATGTTTTTGGGGGGTGTCCTATGATTTTGCACCGCACTGTACTCAGCACCATAGTATGGAAAATGTCTTCCTTCTCGTTGTATCCACCTTGCGGATAAGTCTCCTTTCAAAAGAATTTCCATCAACTGCGTGTCGGCCGAATTTCTCACTCGAAGTTAGAAGTCTATGAGGTCGAGACATTTTTCTCAAATTTTGCAGTGTGAGGTCAGGGGCCGGGTGCAGCAAGCCCCGATGAGGGGATGGGTACCCATCCCTTCTCCCCAACCTTGGGGATATATCCCCAAGGTTGGGGATATGTCCCCAAGGTTGGGGATATATCCCCAAGGTTGGGGATATATCCCCAAGGTTGGGGATATATCCCCAAGGTTGGGGATATATCCCCAAGGTTGGGGACATATCCCCAACCTTGGGGATTGGGGACATATCCCCAACCTTGGGGATATATCCCCAACCTTGGGGATATATCCCCAACCTTGGGGATATATCCCCAACCTTGGGGACATATCCCCAACCTTGGGGATATATCCCCAACCTTGGGGACATATCCCCAACCTTGGGGACATATCCCCAAACATATCTCCCGAGAGGGGATGGGTACTCATCCCCTCGTCGGGGCTTGCTGCACCCGGCCCCAGGTTTGCACCGCAGAGAAAGCGAAAATTCCATGGTAGTTCTTACTGCGCGAGTTCATTAACACTACCCCAGACCCAGCATGTCGTTTGCCCATGACTATTACCATCATCATTGCTACTAGATCACAAGTATCACAAATATTGGAGCAGAATTCAGAATCCTCCACCACCAATAATTGGGAGAAGACCTTTGTTCCGAATAAGGTGCAAGAAATATTCAGCGGTTCTAAACCGTGGCTCCTTTGTAGCGCCGATGGCTGTAGCACAAACTTCCGTTTTTTCTCACCAATCATAATTGCATGGTCTGTAGTCATATCAAGGGTTATTCAAAGGTCTCCGTAACTTTCGCGCCATTTGGTGGGGATCCGGCTCCATAACGTTTGAAACCCGAAGGTCACTTTGCTTAAGATAGCCGTTGTGTAATTTTTTGGTTGAGTAATGGAGATTTGGTCGCACTTCTTTTTGTGATAGCTATCTTATTTCAGCAATTGCGCGACGAGATTCGTCAGCGCTGCAAAAATGACATTCCATAATGGTGTTCACGAAAAGCACAGGTGCGTTCAACACTGTCAAGTTTCTAGAGTCTCATAAACGTTCTGGTAGTTTCTTAAAATCAACAGTAGCACTGAAAAGATTACGAAAAATGACTAGAGGAGTGACAAAAGAATGCAAACGGGTGTGTAGGAATTTCCCATTTCGTACAATCTTCCGTTTATATGCTATGAACATGATATAAGATGAGGCTAAGCTACTTGGTGTACGGCAATCTCACTTCGAGATGCACCGCTTCAATTCCCATTCATGCTGAAATTAATCTTATTGTATTGTTCTGCTAGACAATCTTTTCAAGGCTATCTGATGTGCTGGCTAATATATTATTCTCTCATATAGTGCTGGTACCATATAAGTTATGTTATGACCCTGGCAAGATCCGGTCCAGGATTTCATCACGGCAATCGGGGTGAAAGCAAGGCGACTTTATACATATTTTTTGTTTCAGAAGGTGACTAACAAGGGAGGTCGTTCAGGGTGTGGGACGCTTTTTCAAAACGGTTTTTTGCATGCTGTAGGGGCTCTCACGTAGACCACAATACTGTGTTTCATTTTCGCTGAGCGGCCCCCTGAAGGTCCAAAAAAGGTCGAAAAAGTTGGTAAGAATGGGTGGTTTTCTCTGCCTTGGAGTTATGCTTTAGACTTGTAGAAAAGATAACAGACGTAAGATAATAGACGATCCTTCTATTTTATAAAGCGCTAACTTTGTGTGTCGGTTTGTATGTCTGTATGTGTGTGTATGTATGTATGTGTGTCCGTCCGCAAAATGAAGTGAGTGAGAAGGAAGCTCATGGGATATAAACAAACCGCTAACAGAATCATGTAGCTCACAGGACTTTAGCTATTAGTGTGGTGAGCAGTGCAATGGCATGTGAGTTGTGATAGCATCCCAAGCGGCTATATAAACACGCACTTAGCACACTTTCGGTCATTCGACAAGGTGATGCTGTGGTAGCCGGCGAGCAGAGGGGAACGAGGGGAGAGTAAGGAGAGGAGGGAGAAGGGAAAGCTTACGCAAGGTAGTAGGGAGGTTCCGGCGCTTTGTCGGGGG